GGGGGGGGGGGGGGGTGCTAGAGGCCAATACGTGGAAGCTTCTCTATTGTGCTGTTGTACGACCTAAGCTTGAATACGCGTCGTGTGTGTGGTCACCTTACTCGGCTAAAGAACATAAATTAATAGAGAATGTTCAACGCAGAGCAACGAAATTCAATCTGAACTACCCCCCTCGTGATGTTACTTACAGAGACAGTCTAATATCCTTAAACATTCTCCCACGTGAACACAGGCGTGAACTATTATACAAAATCAATCCTCCTCCTCTAAAAGATGAGGGAAAGCACCTCCTGCTTCATCATGAAACTGTACACTAACACAAACCCTTTTACCTGCATCGCTATCAGTACCACTGTTATCACTGTAGTTACTTAATTCAAATTGAACTGCATGGTCAGGAGATCCAACTGCTTTATCAAAGGTTTCAGTCATTTCACTTGAATTATCAGCAAACGTTGATGCAGTATCTATTTCAAACTGTCCCTGTCGACTACTTTCGTCAAGATCAGCATCACCATCTTTATCATTATTGCTTATCTTTACCTGCTGTCTGCACGAATCCCAAGGATCCAGAGGAGCTGAGACAGGTCATTTCGTGGGCGGAAATTTATCTCGTGAATAGCCGTTTTCCCTGAAGCATCTAATGTGACGCTGGCTGTCTTCATCAAGTCTAGAATATTCTTTCGAATTTTCATCAACAGGTTTGCCAATTTCATCAAACTTAACCTTTTTTCCATAGATATAGGAGACCTAGATTGCTGACTCGGCTCAACCGGCGAGACATATTTTGAAAATCCAAGATGGCGGCTCAACTGGGCAAAAATCATAGAACAACATAGGAGAAAACCATGTTTTTTGCATTTTGCGTTGTCCTACAGCTTCCGATCCCGTTCTATCACTTTATTTCAGCAAGAACTAACTGGTGTGAAGGTTTTGGATGAATATTTGTACAATTTAAGTTTAATAAAGACGAAATAATCGATCGCTAAATGTTATCTGAAAATCATCACATAGTCGGTTGAGCAGTTTGAGACCTTTTGTTACAGAAAATAAAGGTTTTGGTTCTTTGGGTGCTTTTTTTCTCGAGGATCTCGGTTGGGATATATAACAGGGAATAATATTGTGAAGTATTTTGAAGTTAAAACCTATTTTACTTGATTTATTTGGTCTGCTGGTGCGAAAATTCTGATGCTATGTTTAGTGTGACTTTGACAACCTCCTTGCTGCTGCAGATGTCAAGGGATCTCAAGTCTATATGGCCTGGACAGTGAAAAGTGATGAGTCAATCAGGTTTGTAGAGAGAACTAGTGACAGCGAAAGTTTTCAATGGAAACTAGTTTGAAGAAACTGACTAATTTGTCTGGTATGCATCAAAAACCAAATTCTTCCAATGGTTATTAATTCATGCTTTCAATATACTGCCTTCTGGTATTTTAATAGAATACAAATTACTAATCCTACTAAGTAGGCCCCTTGAACAAAATTCAATATATATTGTTCGTAATAACAATATTAAATGAAATAATATTAATTAACACATGTAGTTTTGTAAAATATATGAATTTTTGAAATGAACATCAACCTAGAAAGTAACCCTTCCAAAATTTGGGGAGGGGGGAAGAAACCCCTCTGGTAATTATATACACCTCTGTGTGCACTTTTTCCTAGTGGAAGTGTATAACTTTGTCATTCAATCTCCAAACCAACCTGGAATAGTGTGATTATTCCATGAGTCTGCTACTTTCTTACTACCCTAGTATGCAACTCTTAAACTCACTGCAGAAACACAGTGTTTGACATCTTCAAGTTCCATGTCAATTAAGCTGTTTTCTTCCATTTTTCTTAGGGCATTTTTTATTGGATAGTTTACCCTAGCATTAACTTCCACCCAAAATCTTTCAATAACAAGATTCTACAAAAAGTAAGTTTAACTTATTGGAATAAATTCTCTACAGAGATAAAAAGTCATTCCAAAAAAAAAATTGACAAAGCTATAAAACACGTTCTACGATAGGGTTGAATATTCTATTTAGCCTAATTTTTAGATAAATACCTACATATCAGCTCATATCATCAAAAAATGGGCATAATTTGTTTCTGTCATGCGGAATCAAGCTAATTAATTAAAAAAAGTCCAGAAAAATATCAATTCTGGAACTATTGCAGGGGATCTCTGTCCAAATGGGATAGATCCAATGCAATTACAAAACATTTATGAATGCTCCACAGTAATTTCTTATTTCGTCCAAAAGGTCCGAGTAATTGGAGAAGTGGTATTGAATGCGTTCAACAGCACTCATTTTTTAATATATCGAGAACCGCCTAACATAACGTAAAAAAAACTAAACAGTAAAAACACACTTTGACTTGACAACAGATTAAAAAAAACTTTATTTACCCGCTTTATTAAGATACATTATATACAATAAAGGCAATAATATACAAGGAATAATCTATGGTACGAATATGCTATAATTTACAATAGTTTTGGTTAAGATAGCATCAGCTAAGGAAAATTGAAATCAATTTACCGATTTTAATGAAAATGGTTTTGGATGTATCCAAAACCAATCCCTAGACAAATTAGCCAATTCATAGCTCATGAGAATGGTTTTGGATGTGCCAAAACCAAACCTATAGGAAAATGCAAATCAATTTACTGATTTTAGCGCCAATAAAAATGGTTTTGGACACATCCAAAACCAATCCCTAGACAAATGCAAACAAATTAGCCAATTTATAGCTCATGAGAATGGTTTCGGATGCGTCCAAAACCAACCCTGCGAGAAAATGCGAATCAATTTACCAATATGTCCAAAACTATCGTAGAGAAATGCAAACTAATTCGCTGATTTTAGCAAAAAATCTCCAGACAAATGAAAACAAATCAGCCGATTTTAGTGCGTTTGGAAATGGTTTTAGATGCATCCAAAACCAATCTCTAAACAAGTGCAAACAAATTGGCCAATTTATAGCTCATGAGAATGGTTTTGGATGCGTCCAAAACCAACCCTGCAGGAAAATAGAAATCAATATACCGATTTTAGCGCTAGTGAAAATGGTTTTGGATGCATATAAAACCAATCTCTAGACAAATGTGAACAAATTAGCCAATTTATAGCTCATGAGAATGGTTTTGGACGCGCCAAAACCAACCTGCACCGATTTTAGCGCTAATCAAAATGGTTTTGGATGCATCCAAAACCAATCCCTAGACAAATGCAAACAAATTAGCCAATTTATAGCTCATGAGAATGGTTTCGGATGTGTCCAAAACCAACCCTGCGAGAAAATGCAAATCAATTGACCAATATGTCCAAAACTATCCTGGAGAAATGCAAACTAATTCACTGATTTTAGCAAAAAATCCCCAGACAAATGAAAACAAATCAGCCGATTTTAGTGCTTTTGAAAATGGTTTTAGATGCGTCCAAAACCAATCCCTAGACAAATTTGCCAATGTATAGCTCATCAGAATGGTTTTGGATGCGTCCAAAACCAACCCTGCAGGAAAATGCAATCAATTCACCAATTTTAGCGCTAATGAAAATGGTTTTGGATGCATCCAAAACCAATGCTTAGACAAATGCAAACAAATTAGCCAATTTATAGCTCATGAGAATGGTTTCGGATGCGTCCAAAACCAACCCTGCGAGAAAATGCAAATCAATTGACCAATATGTCCAAAACTATCCTGGAGAAATGCAAACCAATTCGCTGATTTTAGCAAAAAATCCCCAGACAAATCAGCCGATTTTAGTGCATTTGGAAATGGTTTTAGATACATCCAAAACCAATCTCTAGACAAATGCAAAGAAATTAGCCAATTTATAGCTCATGAGAAAGAAATGCAAACAAATTAGCCAATTTATAGTTCACGAAAATTGTTTTAGATACATCTAAAACCAATCCTGTAGGAAAATGGAAGTCGATTGACTGATGTGCCCAAGACTAATCCTAGAGAAATACAAACAAATTCACTGATTTTAGCAAAAAATCCCCAGACAACTCAGCCGATTTTAGCGCTTATGGAAATGGTTTTGGATGCATCCAAAACCAATCTCTTGGATGCATCCCAAAGCATTTTAAATCAGTAAATTGATGTCCATTTTCTTTTGGATCGGTTTTGTACGCATCCAAAACCATCCTCATGAGCTATAAATTGGCTAATTTGTTTGCATTTGTCCAGGAATTGGTTTTGGACACATCCAAAACCAATCCCTAGACAAATGCAAAAAAATTAGCCAATTTATAGCTCATGAGAATGGTTTTGGATGCATCCAAAACAAATCCCTGGACAAATGCAGGAAAATTAGCCAATATATATGTAGCTCGTGAGATCCTATTGGAAAATGGAAATCATTTTACAGATTTTAGCTCCAATGAAAATGGTTTTGGATGTATCCAGAACGAAACCTAGAATTAATTATATAAGCTGTTATAAAAACCGTTCGTGATATACCTATAGTCAATATGGAACAGCAATCAGTCTGCATCTTTTGCTTTCTGGCTTTTCATAAAATGGCGAATCTGCCTCCTTGCATCTGTGTGCAACTTGGAATTCGAATGAAGGTGGAAGCCCGGCAGATAAACACATTCCTTTGGCAATTTGTAATTCTAAGGCAGTTTTTCATTTGTCAATGACAATAAAGATGGAACACCTTTCAAAACCGATTAAATCCTGCAAAGAAAGTTAAGAAGCACATTTATCTCTCAAGTATATACATACCGGTATGTACAGTATCATAAACTGTTTTTACTTCACATGGTTTCTCAAACCTCTTACTGGGTTGTACAAAACCAGGCAGACAATTAACAGAAAGAAAATATATTAATACATACTGTAGTAGATACATATAGTATGAGGAACAACCTTGTTCCCAGGGCTTCAGTGTGAGGACGAGGCGAGACATGCGGAAGCCCTGGTCTGGGCCGGTCACATGTCTACCCAAAAAATGGCAGTATTTGACAGCTACTCATCAAGGAGTGGCGAGATATTCTTTAATGAAATATACAAGTCTTCGAAACAAATAAATAGCCAAAAGACTTCTCAATCGATATTGTTTATGTGTAGAGCGAAGTTTGGCACGAATCAGCTGAAATCTATGAAGATCCCATCTATGTTTTCTAAGATATACCGATATTTCTGGAGATTTACAACTACAGGCAAAGCTGCATCCAAGCTGCATCTAGGCGTCTCCATGCAAGTGGTGATTCACACGAAATTTCTTTTGTCTCGTCTTGAACAATATGGCTATTGCTATAATTAATATTTAGTTTAAACATGCTCTTATAGATCTGACTTAGTTCAATATAAATAAACCCAAATATAAAACCTCGCGTAACCTGTTTACGCTGTACAAGAATATACGGATTCGCTTGTTTCGCCGGACACCAACACTTGCCGTTCAGGAGCAATGCTTGCCTACAAATTTTATCCCCTTCACATTCTTTGTTTTATCTTATCGTATAGTCGCAATTTTCAAGTATTCGGGTATTCTGAAACTGTAAAACTCGGTGGCGTGCGAATCCTGTAGAGAATACATCAGCCTAGGCGTAGACCTATTAAGTGAACAGG